TTGCCCTAGTAGACATTCCAACATCCAAACCATTGTCCGTCTGCTCGTGAGTGCTTAGAATTACCTTATGCCACAACTTATCCGTATCCATTGGAAATCTCCATAGCTATTTCCCAAGCAAGGCCAAGTTCCTATTGTGTAAACTGCCTTGAAGACCACCTTCCAACTACTCAAATGATCCTCTCTCCTCTCTTGGTTCCCATAGAAAGTCTCTCATCATCTTTTCCAATTCTTTTCCCACCCTACTAGGAATCCTGAAGACCAAAAGGAAGTAAACCGGAAGGTTGGCTAGAGTGGACTTGTTAAAGTGATTCTACCTCCCATGGAGATGTAATTTCCCCTCCACAGTGCCAACTTTTTAGAAACTCTGTCTATAACAGGGGTCCAGAAGCATTTATAAAAAAAAAGGGGGGTCTAGAAGCTAGGTTCTCTTGCATTTGCACCTAAAGGAAGTCCCAAATATTTTAAAGGCTAAACAGAAATCTCACAAGTTCACCCCAGCTAAACAGCTCTTTTGAAGATTGACCTTGAGATTTGAGATTCTTTCAAAGAGTTGTACAACTAACCTCAGGTTCCTAATCCAGAGAGCATCACTCTCATCACAGAAAAGAATTATATCATTTGCAAACTGTAAATGAATGACTACTACACCATCTCCTGACTTTCATCCCTTTATCAACTGGCTTCTCTCTGCTTTAGGATTAACCTACTGAAAATATCTGCCAATACAGTAAATAATCTGGCCTTTGTGTGTGTGCATGCACGCGTGTTTGTTTGAAGCTTTTTTCTAAGCTATAGCCTAGTATGATGGCATTAGATAATTGTAGCTAAAGGCTTCAAAGCATTGGATGTGCATAGACTAGCAGGGTGTTTGGTTCCATTTACGTTTATTGAGTAAACGTCTTGTACTTGTGTGACTGCAAAACCAAGAAAAGCAATTAATGAGGTGTTTATGACACATAGGCACCATTAGGCACCACATCAGCAAAATGCCAATAAACGCCTACCCGTTTCAGGAAGCTCCAAAATGAAGCTTCCTGAAACGGGAGAGGTGCACAGAAACCAAAGTTTGCTTTTGCAAATATCGAAACATACAAATGCAATTAATGAGGCATTTGCTGACGGGGTGCCTATGTGGCACCGTTTACTCAATAAACGTAAACGGAACCAAACATATACTAGGTGATTGGATAAGCATTTTGGAGGCCTATGAGCCTATCGAATATCAATTATTGCCTACAAGACAACAAGGCAGGTGGAAGAGAAATAAACACTTTAATAAGTAATTATGCCCCTTTCTGCATTTTGATGCAAGTTTATAGAGCTGCTAATGGGCGAGTTCTGGGCTAGGTTGGGTAGACCTGATATTAAGTCGAAAAGAAAATATACCAACACAGACCTTATAGAGTGTAGGGTAGCAGTTCTATAACTAACCTCTTTATTACTCGGATCTATTGGGTAGGACTTTAAGAACCAATCATAACTATCCACATATAAAATTGAGAAAATAAGCATGATATTTTTCTAACAAATACAATGTAATCTCATATAAATTATAACTGGCATGCTTATTCCGTATTTGGAGATTCATGTATGACATCTTTGATCTCTTTCCTCACCTATTTATCAGCTTATTTCTGGTAGAAAGCAACAATGAGCTTTGCAATACTTGGACCACTGCAAACTTAATTTTCACCTTTGCAAATGGCTGATAACCAGGAAGTAGGATTCACTTGTAGGCATTGTACCAGAAAATCTCCATATCAAGAATCAAAGGGGGCGACAATTGATGTTTATGAGGCTTGTACTTTTCTTGCAGTTTGTCACTGCAACATCACTCTTTCTTGTGCCCAAAACACTTAACTGGTTCCATAGTTGCTTTTTTTTATGAGTAATTAGTTGAAATAATTAAAAGAAGGGAAGTAGAGTCTGAATCCTGATCTAAATGTCTATCTTGGCAATAAATCTGATTGAAATATGAGGAAGTAGAGAAGAGAAGGGAAGAAGAGAGGAAAGGAGAAGGAAGAAAGGAAGAAGAAAAGGTTTGGAGCAATAGAACAGTGCTGGTGGCGCCAGCTTCTATTATATTATATAGGGCGGCAGAAATAAGAAGGGAAAAGACCCTTGTGCCCCTGCTGTAAGTGAGTACAATAAAAGAAATAACAGAAAATAAAAAAACGCTTTAACTAGCCAAACAGAACCTAACGCAAATAACTAAATTATTTCAACAGTCTACTGTTTTTTGACAAGTGAATGGAATAATATTAAATGAAGAGAAGAGGTACAATGATAACAGTACAGGTAGTACTAATACAGGCTTCCCATAGACAAGCTCGAGGTGCGATCTCTCAACAGAAAAAAGCAAATACAACAACAATCGTGCCCAATACAATTGTTTTTTTTTAAGAGAAATCCAATACAATTGTGCCCTAGTAACCCCTTGCTTTTCTAGAGTATTGACAAAAGCATTGGCTGTCCTCACCTATTGAATTTTCAAGGTCATGTTTCTCATCAGCCATTTAAATTTCATCTCATTTCTATAACCCCAACTTACAGCTTCTGTTTCCTTAACCACCCCACCACCAACTTACAATCACCTTCAATTACCAACTTCTCCAAGTTCAACTCATTTGCAATTTGTGTTCCCTGTAGTATGTGTAAACAGCTCATCTCTAGTAGTCTCCCACCTCCACTGGGCCTGAGAAAATGGCACTTGATGTGTCCTTATTCCTGAAAACTCCCCCCAACTCCAGAACGGCCTGGGTTACCTTGTTTGCTTCCATCAAAATTCAACTTGACACGGTCATTTTAATTTTTTTTTTTTTTGTTGGGGGGGGGGGCGCAACAACTCTGAGAGTGCTAAAACTTTTCTAGAAGAACTCCTTGTCACCACAAGCCAATTTCTCCATAGGTCAGCAAAGGAAAAAAGTGAAAAGCTATTCAAAGTTTTCAACAAATGTCAATGCAATTCTTTCATCCCCTCCTTTCCTTTCTCTAAAAAAATTCTTGCATTCCTCTCTTCCCAGGTAATCCATATCATTGTTGCTCAAATGCATCTCCACATAATCCTTCCCTTTTTCTGAGGAATACTCCAGAAAGATGGATCAAAGAGACCATTAACCTGCATTGGCAAATTCCACCTGCGCCCAAATAAAGAAGACAACCATTCCCAAGTATCTGCAATAAAAGAACAAGAGATAAATAAATGTTTAATTTCGTCCATGAGAAATCATTTATCAAAAAAAAAAAAAAACTTCATGAGAAATCTTTATTGGCACAAGCCTTGGCTGTTACCTTTCAATCTTCCCACCACCACCTTTCAGTCTTCCCACTACTACCTTTCAACCTTAAGTTTAATAACTTTTACACTTTCAATCCTTTCAATGCTTGCTGATATCTCCCTTATTGAGTCCTGTGCTTGTGGCCAGCTGGTCCTGAAAATAGCACTACTATGATGCCATGTGCATCTCTAAACAGTCCACCATTCCTGAAGGGATTACCAATACAGCGACCATCAAACTTGAGCTTTATAATATGATCCCTACTAGGATTACATCGGACTCATCCCAGATTTCTTGCTGTTGAGAGGCCAGTGCAATAATATATTTTGGAGTTGCTGTTGCCTTCCCCTTTTGCTGGCTAGTGTGAGAAAACAGGTTTGAGTCTGACAGCAGCCATTTTGTGCAAAAAATGCCAAAGGTTAGGACTTAATCCAGTCTTCCCCTCCCAAGACCCAAGATAGTTGGACCAACACTGGGTAATGGCCTTTTTTATTCTAAATATCATACCTGTAACCTACAATACAGTAAATTATCTATTGAAACATTAAATTCAAGGTAAAATTTGATGGATGTAGGACCATCTGCTTTGATACCAGTTTATGTAAAATTTGATGTGATCAAGTGCTAGATTAGTAGTAAATTTGAGGGAAAATGAAAATAGAATATGATATTTTTCAGGGTTTAAGTCCATGGTAAGTTTGGAGAAGGTGGATGAGTTGGTGAGGGTTTATGTAGGGCTATAAAGCTGCATGATTTGATTAGGAAGCTAATTTAGGGCTGAAATTCCTGCAGGACTAGAGGACAAAAAGCTTACATCTAAAGATTGGAATAGGATTTCTTCTATCTGTTTCAAAAGATTGTTTAGGGTGGTCAACTAAAGAAGGAGATTGAGTTTGAGGGATTCTGTGATGGTTTGGCACAAAAAAAGATAAGAATTCCTAAAATCAGAATGTTTAGGATTTTTAGTGGGCATTTTTTAAAATGAAATGGAGAAGGACCTAGAATATGGGGTATGCTTATCTCAAGTGTGAGTCGATCAAGGTTTGATAGCGATTCTCTAGAGAGAGAGAGAGCATATATTCTGATCTGATCCAATTCAAATTCTGAAAATAGAAAAAAATGTAATATAAGTCGGATATATTAATATATCTGATAAAAACAAGTATTTTTTCACTATTTTCATCATATATATCATATATACATGTATTTTTATAAAAATTTTACAATAATGCAATATAGGTCAGATTGGATCAGATAGAGGGTGATCTGAATTCAATCTGATAATCCGGCAGGGGGTTATCTGAATCCGACAAAAATAGGATAGGTTTCGGATTGGATCATGATCTGGTCCATTTGCACCCCTATACTCAAGTGATATCACACCCTAAATGATGTTAATATTGTTTGATGTCATTCCTTATTTTGATAGGTAGAGCCTTTGTACTCATATCGAACCATTATTGAATATTCAAAATTTTAGAGTATGATGATTATCCATTTATTTAACTTTGGTTCCATTGGTTAAAAATATCATACTTAGTTCTTTTTAAATGTTTTCTTGCATTTATTGGCTTTCTGTATGTGTGTAGTAGTAGCAATGGCAAGAATGTATCTACTTTCTTCCTGTTTGACCCACATTGTGCTATTTTTTCTTTGAAAGGGGGGAGGGGGGAGGGGTAGGGGAATTTATTATGTTGATCTGGAATTGCCAATTTGCAGGTTGGGAAAGGACTTTCCATTAATCAAAAACTCTGGACAGTTCAAATGTGCAATCTGCCAAGTTGATGAACCGCCTAGTGATGTTTTGTCAAACTCTGGGTCGTTATACTCGTGCCCATCAAAACCATGGGAAGGCCCATTCCTTTGCACGACTTGCAGGACTAAGATGGATGCCATGGAAGGAAAACGGCCAAGCCGACCAAAGGTGGCAACATAGCAAATAAGCAACATTCCCGCTAATCATCACCGGTTTAACTGAATGTACACGTTCTCTGGCAGTTTTTGGTGTGTTTGTGAGGGAAGTGTATGAGATTTATTCACTATAGCTGATAACTTAATTCTTGTGGGTTGAGGTGTTCACTCCTGGTGAGAATTTACTTGTGTGTTTGAAGAAAGTGAAGAGAGTAAGTAGGTCCTACGAAAATTTATGTTGATTTAGGACTGATTGGACGACTAACCACTGAAGACTACCATGCTTATCTTACAAGTAATGTGTTCTGAGGGGTTTGATTGCTAACTACTTGAATAGTTGAATTTGTAAGTAACATTTGTGATGACACAGTATAATTTTTCTAGTGAAGCCCTTCAGTTTTCTATTTCATATTTTAAGAGGTACACCAAACCAGATTTGACGGTTCAAACTACTTATTCTTTGCGCTCATGGAGAGAGATCATCCTGTTCATATCGATATTGCACGGTCAATTGTTTTTCTTTGGCATGTAGGGCAATGCCACTACTGGGTCCATTTGGTTCACACTTCACAGTTGGAAACGGAATTAGAATCTGAATCTTCGGAATTGGAATGGTCTATTCCTCTCATCTGTTTGGTTCAGACAATCAGACCAGAATCAGAATTGGTTGGAATGAATTTTCAATCTCAGGGGAGGGGAATGGAATGGCCATTCCCTCAAATGAGGGGGGTAATGAGATTCCTATTTCACCCAACCAAACAGTTGGATTCCAATTCCTCTGGATCACTATTCTCAATTTCCCACAAACTAAACAGACCCTTAAAGTACTGCTCGAGTCAATTATATAGTGGTTCTGATTTTCATCATTTTTTGTTAAAAACCACAGAAGCCTGTTTGGTGGAGATGAAACTGATTAGGCGTTTGAATGCATCAGCTTTATTTTTAAAATATTTCATTATAATAACGTATTATGAACTGTTAATTCAAGAAAGTCATTTTATAATTCAAGAAATGCCCTCTTCACCAAGGTTCTAAATATCAATACAGACACGTGGGCGTATCGACCTGTATTGGTGCTTTTTTGTAATGTTTTATTTATTTTTAGTCAAAACCGGTTCAGAGGGATTGATTTAAGTCCTGGCTACCCTCTGAATCATGGCCTGACCCGATACAACTCCTCACAAAATCCAACTAAAACATTTTAGACATCATTTTTTCTCGGAAAACAGACTGGCTGGTCTTGCTCTCTTGGTCTGTTTTGCATGTATAATGTCTGGAAAGGAAACTTTTTTTTTTTCAGACTTCAAATTGTTCTTTTAAGACCTCTTGAAGAAACCACTTACAGTAGCATGACATGGTTGAAGAACTAATATACAGAACCAAAACCAATTTAAGACCTTAATTTCATCAAATGACTAAGCTCTCCGCAGTCTCATCATGGACAAAAGGCTAGGCACATACCCTGCCAAAGTCCGAAGACCTGGATAAACAGGATTATGATAGGTAATAGCCCTTCTAAGCTCTTCACGGTGTGCTAATCTGATCCCTGGGCTAGAATAATTCACCCCCTGCCAGAAATACATAATTGATATAAAATTAAGGCAAATGTAAAAGACGACAAAATTAATACTAATTGTTAATAAAGTATAGATGCAAATAAATATTCTATGGAAGATTACTTACTTAGATCATCTAAGGAGATATTGCTAACATTTTCTCCTGTTTTTATTAGACGTACTTTACCTGCAAGTGGATATTAAAAAGCATCTAGTTTAGGAAATTTACTGAATCCCATGATGGAAATATGGTCTTAAGATTCATTCTTCCACACAATCTGGTTAACCGTTTCAACATGAATTTAGCAACGACCAACATTCAGAATTCACAAAATGTACAAAATACAAACTTGAGAGTCTCCAAAAAAATATGGTTAGTTAATAGGAAGAATAGTAATCCGAAAACATCAGCGTTAAGTAAAATTTCTTCATAGTAAATTATACTCCCAGGAAAATTTAAATGCCACATCCAAGTAATTAACTGAGTCCTGAGTCAACTAGCATTTATCTACCTAGTGTGAATTTACAATTTAAATCCTGTACAATATGTCACTTCCCTTTGAATTGAGAACAGCTTGGGATACAAAATGCCGTTTGACTATTTTTTATCAAAATGATACATGCTACAATTGTTAGACCATTCAATTGTTGGATATAAATCTTTCATTTATAGGGCCACTAAAAGCCCTAGAAAACTATGATACCTGGATGCCTTCATATAGGTGCTGTACCATGTTAGACCCTTAAATTTTTTGTTTAAATTTTGTTTTCTATTCCTTGTCCAGGTAACAGCTAGAAAACTGTGCTTGAGTTGAACTTTTAGAGAAGTTTCATAGCTTAAGGTTTATTACATTTATTCAGTTTTCACAAAACTATTCATGAAACAAATATCGTCAAGCACCTTGTCACTAGTGTGCCTATGGTTGATTAACAACCATTAAAACCCTCTTTTTGTATCCAATAAATCAAAGCCAAGATGATATATTTTTTTGTCCAATTTTCTTATCACATTCTGTCATTGGAAAATGTTAATTAAAGATAATTTTTGCACCCAAAGAAAAAGTCCCAGCTCAAACAGAGAAACACATTGAAGTACTATTGAAAGAAAAAACAAAAAATTACATCTAATATCAAATAAGAATGCCAATTGAAGCCAAGTTAAGCAAACATAAGAAAAATGAGAATAATTAACTGAAACTCCAAAAAAGCTTCTTGAGGGCATTTCCACAACATTTCCTTTTTTTATCTCCTAGTTTATTTGACAATAAATTAACAGCTAATATACAAGATGAATGCCATTTTTCCTATCAAATATTACTTGGTAACAAAGAAAACATTTTTTTTCAGGTATATGATGTTAGAATTCAAAAATATAAACATTGTGTTATGCTTGTGCCTTTAATTCTTTATTGTGGCCCACTCTGAATTAAGTTGAGAAAAACCTAAGGCAAATTACGGGGAGGTGCGGAGCAGAGCACACAACGGTATGGATCCGATCCATATTCAACTTATGGGTCCGACCCATATTCAGCTTGGGGGGGGGGGTCTCTTGTATGTATCTTTTGGTTTGAGAATGAAGTCAATATGTTTTTTTTGGGATTTAGAGTTTCTGTGAGAGAGGTTGTGCACAACTCTGTAATCTCCACTATTGATTCTATAGTGGATTTCTTCTCCTTTGCCCATGGATGTAGGCTATAAGCTGAACCATGTAAATCTGTGTGCTTTATTTCTTGCTTCCCTTTATCTTTGTTTTACTTCATTTTCTTGTGCCATTCGAATATGTGTTTCTGGGTTTTACATAACATAACACATTTTAATATTAGATACTTTCCATAGACATCTTCTCTAGCCCACGTTTTCTCATCTTGCCAAATCAGATTCTTGGACATGTGGCGGATTCCAACTCCCATATCCATGCCCATGCAATTCATCAATTAGCAAAAGGACAAAAGATTTTCTAAATGATGTATTATCTTGACTATACTTGTTTCTATAGAGCCCTTGTTTTCTTTTCCCAGTATAGCAAAAGGAGGTTTTACAAAGAATTTCTTTCTCAATAGGAATTGTTTAAAAATAATCCTGTTTGTTTCCAATTTTAAGAAGCCAAAGATGACTTTCCAAAAGGTTGGGCTGCAGACTTCTCAAAGTGAAGATGCAGAGACAAAGGGCTGATCTTTGTATAGGAACATAATGGATCTTGATGCTCCTAAATTTATTAGATTATTCAGCAAAGGCCTTGTTTTTTGGAAGGTCTATTTCTGTATTTTATTGCATAGTTCCACTCTGCAAGAAGCCAAGAATTCCAAATCATTCTCTTGAAACTTATCCTCTTTAAGGTATATGATTCCCTTGCCCTGAGATGACCTGGCCCAATAAGGAAATCCCAATTTTTTTGTCTTTTCTACGTAATCAAATAGATGCTACAAAGGCTTATTTTTAGATGTGGAAATTAAAGCCCTTGGGTTGAAAAGTGGTACGAATAGTGTTTTGAAAGGCATGACTTGGGCACACTTAAGCTCGTGGGTGAGGATCGTCTTGGGTGTGCATTGCCTAAACCTATGTACTTATCACTTGGCTTGTTGCTATGTTTTGATAAATTGGCCTTCGATTTTATGTTAAATACATAATTTACTATATTGTAGGGTGTACTTATGATGCTTAGACTAAACATTTTAGCCTTTTTTTATCAGCAAACATTTGAGCTAATAGGCTTTCTGCAATATTTTAATAGTTGGAAAAGTTTAGGCAAATTTGAGTCAATGAAAATTCAGAAGAGAGGAAAATGTGGTCTTGTGGGAGAGTGCTATTTGAAATAAGAAAGTACTTTTTTCCCCTCTGGTAGATTATGGTTACATTAAAAGGGATGTGATTCTCCAAAGATAAATGAAGTACGTAAATCCAAGAAACCTTTGGTGAGAAATATTCTTAGTAAATTGAACTATTCTTTCGTATTTAATAAGGTGCAGACATTACTTTATTGTGTGATTGCATAATAGAAGCTTAAAATATGGGCTTTGAGAATGGTCATGGAGTAATAGTTCTAAAAACTAGAGGTATGACAAAAAAGAAATTTGCAATCATTGTGCATTTCAGTGGGAAGGAAAAATTAATTGAAAGATATAATCAATCTATGGACATATTGGCAATGAAAAGAAATGGATCCATAAGCCATTCCTATTTTTGTCAAATACTTAAATGTGCGTACTAAAGGACCTACTAGGGGAAAAGCATGGAAACTTCATTAACAAATTACAGGATGAGGGTTCTATTACTGACTACTTTTCTTAGACGAAAAAAAAACAAAAAGAAAGACATAATGTACTAATAGCGAGCATACCATCACGACGCACACATATCTCAGGAATATTTTTAACTTCACCACTGATGCTGTCGTTGTAGACCCTAGTTTCAATATCGCCTTCAACATAAACTGGAGAACTGGAACAAAATCATCGTGTTCAGTGATGCAACAATGAAGACAACCATGAAAATTGATTTTTTTAATGGGACACCAATACATACTTCTTGACTAATTGTTGGACAGCATAGGCCCCAAGTTGTTCATTATGCACAGCAATTCGATGCCACTGAGCCGGTTTTGGTAAGTGATCTGCTTTTACTATTCTCTGGTCATACATGCCCCCAGTTCCTACTGTAAAGATGGTGACAGTCTTTCCATTCCTCAAGATCTTCTGCACAGGAGCTTGTCCGATTTTTCCACAAATGATCGCCTAAGATGAAAACCGACAAGAGTAAACAAAAGGCAATAGAAGGGGAGAGTACAAAATATAGTTTCTTCGGTCAGAAATAACAGCAAATACCTTGTGAACCCCTCTGAAACCCCAACCTCTCTTAGGATCCACACCTTGTGGTTCTATGTCTTGTTTGTAAGGAATAAAGACATCGTCCTCCGGGTATGCATTGTTAACTCCAGTACCACCATTATCATCAACATCAGCAACGTGGCCACCTTTATTGAACGACGTAGTTGAGTACCACATTTTCGAACTTATTTGCACGCCTACGTACATTAATTCAAGTAAGACAATGAAAACAACAAACATTAGCAACATTCATAAAATACCAACTATCAAATGGTTCTACTGCCCCCAGAGATTGATAATATTAAAATCTGCTGCCGCCCCGCCTGTTGTTTAATTATTTTAACTATTCCCAATGATATTTAGTTCAGCTTCAGGTCGTTTATGAACCAGAAAATCCATCTATATAAGCAGTTGTTACATCCAGAAACCAAACCAAAGTAGTTTGAACTTCCAAGCTATATCGGCTAATGTAGCAACAGTTGTGCTTGTGCTTTGAAAGAGAAAGGAGAATGAAGATACCAGGCGCACAGAAGGTTCTTGACGGAGCTCTGACTCTTAAATACTTGATAAATCTGGCAGATGACGAACTCATTTGTTATTCTTTCAGGTAAAGGATCAAATTGAATATTCTCCTTTGTTCAGTTGTTGCGATGAGAATAGCCGAATAAGGAGGTGGAGAGAAGGTTTTACTTCAGAGCTTAAATTGGAACTTGGAAGGGAAAGAATTTTGAGATTTTAAAATTTAAAGAATTCACTGCTCACGGGCCGTAGATCACTATTAGGTAATAGAGACGGAGGGCCGTAGCCCGTGCTCTTGGCCGGTCCAGCCTTGTAAAGTAACTAGAAACTAGAACCCATGAAACAAGGTTTTAAAAATCGATCTGGAATCGAAACGGTTCCGGCGACCGGTTTATGGGTAAACGGTTTGATTGTCCGATTCAAAAATTATACTCCACAATTATGTCTAATTGAATCAAGTTTTAATGTCTCACCACACAAATAATTTGAATTTGGTAGAGATTTTAAGTTTTCAAACTTTTCATATCAGATTTAAAATGCTTCTATCCAACTTAGCATTAATCCTCTTCCATTCCAAAAGATAAAATTGCTTAGTAGAAAACTTCCCATTGGCCGTTGTCATCCAAACAAATTTCCCATTAGCTTTGAAAATCAATAGGTAATTAGACGTTTTTATTTCACCATGGTAGGAACCAAGTATTGCCCCTAGCTATTTGGGGTCGTGGGGAGAGGTGAGCTGAGTCTAGATCATTTGCCAAAAAAAAAAAAAAACCATTATAACACATTCCAGTATGATCTGTTTGCACATCTCCTACATAGTGTGCCGCACGTGGCCCGACACGACCCGATATGATGGTCTGCGGGTCGTGCTAGGCCTGGCACGATCATGTGGGCCGTGCCGCTCGTGGCCTGTGGGCCAGCACGACCCATATATATTATTTATATTATATATATTTATATAATATTATATAATAATATATAATATATAATATATTAATAATATAAATAATTTTTTAATTTTATTGTACTAATTTATTTAATTATTGTATATATAAGCAATTGTATATACACAATTCGTATAAAATTAAAATTTTAAGTTTTTTGTCATTTTTAAATAAATAACTTTGGCTTGATGCACAATCCAACCTGGCCCAAGGCTCGGCCCGCAGCACGGCACGGCCTCGCACGTGTCTGGGCCATGGGCCGTGCCGGGCCAACCCCCAAAATTTTCACCGGGAAGGGCGATACGACTCGTAATGGCCCGCGGACAAACATGGCACAATCCACACTTTGCACGAGCTACCCCCGGGCCATGCCATGCTGGCCCAACACGGCCCACTTTACACCTCTAGGTGCATCCTGGACTTATGTTGAGATGTGTGGAAACTGATAATGTTGGAAGAGTGTTGAGACAGTTCTTGTTGGGAGATCCCAACTTGAATTGGTATCAAGGTTAAGTATAAGGGCAGAGAGCATCAGTAAAACAATCTTAAAAGACATTACAACAAGGAAATATGCATGGATGCAATATTTGCTTGGTTCCTACCATACATAAAAAGTGCATAAATCAATAACAACACTATGCATAAGTCCCAAATGAGTTATATATATTATATATATCAAGGTTTTTAAAAATCAAACCGGTCAGGGGTCTAGTTCTTGGGTCAAATGGTCCAATCGTTCAAACTGAATGGATGATTCATTTTGACAAAAAAATAAAAAAAATAAAAAAATTGTAAAAAAAGCTGCCAAAACTGTTAAATGGTTCAAACAATTCGCCCACCCGGGTCAGCGGTTTACTAGCCAAATCAACGGTTTTTGGTGAAATAATAGTTCTTGGGTAAAATAAAATCGGTCACCTCACCGATTCTCAGTTTTTTTGGTCCAACCATCCGATTTGATCCAATTTTGAAAACCATGATATATACATAAAAATGCATACTTTAACGGTTTATGTGAACTGCAAATTAATAGAAAACAATTGTAAAAAATGATGAAATAACTAAAATATGCATGCATATATCTTAATTCTAGGAAAATCAATATAATGCATTAATATTTATTAACAAAAAATTTAATAAACAAAATTTACACTTATGGACAAACATACGATTTAGAATCCATGTATCATGACAACAAATAATCTGAACATGTTCTAATGGTGGATTTATCATCTCTTAATCGAAAAACCACAGCGAAAGTCTTTTGATTGGTACTGCCCAATATGACTTTCATACTAAAAAATCTTGTAACCAATCATCTGTTATCATAAAAGTGGTAACCAATCAGGTGATACTTATCAAAATTCATGGGGTTTTGAGGTTTTGATTGATCATAGCTTGTGTGACCTAGAATATTTTACCTTGTATTCTAACATTTGCCAATCCATGATTTTACTAACAAAACAAATACAGATATGTCATCGTCCATGCTATAGGGATAAAAGGAGACATGGAACCTGCAAAATTGACAATTCTCATGTGTCCATGTGGGTCCATATCTACTAGAACCATTGGATTGAATCCATGAAGTGAAAGCCATTTCAACCTTTTAATTTTAGAAACTTTGATTGCACTAATCATCTATACTATCATAAAATGTTGAATTTGATAATATATATTTACCTTGTACACATATATAACACATGCTCTCACATTAGTAATAATCCTAATATAGATGATTGTATAGAGATGTGTGTTGACGATTCAATGCTTATTTGAGAGTAGTATTTTCAATTTGTCATTAATGCATTTGGTTGGACTGTTTGATCCATATCAAGTTATGAATTTTGGTTTGGGTTAATCCTAAATCGTCTCTTTTTTTTGTCGAAAAATGCCTTTTTGGTCTCTCTCTCTCTCCATATATATCCATATGTGTATATATATCACACACAATTGATTCGACTGGTTAAACCAGTATTTTCAACCCGTTGTTGATCTAATTGGTTGAACCGTTCGAACCATCGTTCGATCAGGATTCTAAGTCCGGTTGTATTAAAACCAGTAAGTTAGTCACTAACCATTCGACCCAGCTAGTTCAACTATCGACCTATTCGACCTGGTCACCGGGTCGTGGGCTACACACTCAATGCATCCAAACTTTCGGAGGCCATAACTTTGCATTCCGATGTTCGATTGGGGTGATATTTTTTTTTATTTTTTTTATTTTGAGTAACTTTTTGAGATCTATGCGTCTCAAGGGGCCGTAGGCACCTTGCCCCACTATTTTTTTTTGGCCTCAAATCGTAATTTTAATATTTTTTTATAAATAAAAAATTTAAAATTAAATTTAAAAAATATAAATTAAATATAAAATAATACATATAACATATTTAAAACATAAAATATGATATATATATATATATATATATATATATATATATATATATGTACGTAGATGATGATGTGACACGACCTGTTTGGCCTGTAGGCCCTGTACGGTCGAACCAGAGGCAAGAACGGTTCAGCCTCAGGGTCGGTTATTAAAACACTGGGTTAAACCACTGGCCTGCCACCTGGTGAAAAAACATTAAAACAGGTCAGCCTCTGAATCAATTTTTGGGAGGGCTTCGCTTTTGACTTTGTGAGGTAAGCCCCATCTACACAGCCTAAAAGTAATGTTTGGTGAAACACTTGGAAAACCCAAATTAACCATCTTTCAGCAGAAAAATGACTTTTCTAGTAAATTTAATTTCGTGGGTCCTAATTAAGATGTGTAGTCCATGTTATACTTGTTGTTTGTTGCAAATTTTAAGCCACATTTTGCAGGTAAAAGAAATTGGGCTATACTAAGAGTTGGAGAATAGAGCTGTGAATGGACTCTGAAAGTTTGAAACCTTATCCAATTTTTTGAATTTAGATGTTAGAACCTAAAAATAATTATTTTTTAACAAAAATTATAAAATTTCTTTATTTTAAAGATGATAAAACAGATTTGAATTGAAACCAAATCCGACCTCATCACAGACCTAATGGAGAATGGAGAGCAGGGATTCGACACATTAATTATTTCGTCCAAAGTTTTGGATTTAGTACTGCTACTTACAGTCTTTCTAGCTTTTGGTAAGCGAAGGGGATATATGATATATAAATCAGCATCAGCGCATTATCTTCCAATTTTTTAAACAGGAAGTGGACCCACGTATTCCATCTTATTCCACTTTTGACTAGATTAGCCATAAACGTGGAGGATGAGACCTTTCTTTCTCTCTTCCCACGCGAGCCAGCACGAGAGAAAGAGAGAGAGAGAGAGAGAGCGAGGTCTGTGACTGTGAATTTCTGGTCGTGGTCTATGATCCACCTACCTCAGCCTCAGGCGGAGGAGTGAGGAGGACAATTTTGGCCCTCACACAAAGAATCAACAGACCAGACCAGAATGTTTAATCTCAATGAACAGAGGCTGCAGACTGTAGCTACTACGTCGTCGATTAATTGAAGATAAAGATGTAGCCCATCAATCACAAGAAGTAAATCTTTCAACCCTAGAGGCTAGAGCTTCCTTATTTTCTCACGTATAATGGGTCCTACTTGAGCATATTTTTCTCGTTCAAATGTTGACTCAATTAAACAAAGCAATGCATTGATTGAATGAACAATCTGGTCATTGCTTTTGAACATAATTTTCTATGCATATTATGCGATCGATCATTTGTTCCTCCATCACTCCTCTCCTCTTGTATTCCAAAATCCAAACCCTTGGCTTGGATGAGGAGCATAGCCTGCATAGCTTAGCCCATAAAGATTCATTACCATTAATCCAACGATTTGGAACTACAAGAGCACTCTATCTTTGGTCTTTCTCAGTACCATCTAATCGTCTATAGCTTCACTTTTTTCTTACCAACAATTCAACAGTAAAAAAGAAAGAAAGCTGTGCAAATCTTTGAAAGTTTTTAATCTCTGCTGTTATCTGTCAAAAGGTAGCTAGGAAAAAGAAAGAAAGGGTTAAAAATGAAATATCCAGTTTTTCAAACTCGACGGCTGATTCTAGAAGAAACATTATCTCGATTCTGTTTATTATGTTGTAGTAAGATAATCGTAACATATACCATTACCATCTATAAATACTGCTTTTCATCTGCACCATTGGCATCTCTCTCTCTCTCTCAGTCTGAGCTCTCTTCTCTGATAATTATTCAGGGTGATCTTTGCTTTGGGAAGATGGGCTTCACTAGTTTCAGCAGTGAGTTTGTTTCACCGGTTTCTCCGGCTAGGATGTTCAAGGCTGGAGTCCTTGACTTGCACAGTCTCATCCCCAAGCTCATGCCTGAGGTCGTCACAACTGCTGCCATTGTTCAAGGAGATGGAGGAGTGGGAAGCATTAAGCAATTCAACTTCACTGAAGGTTAGGACATGATTGATGCAATATTAATTAATCCACTAGGGTTGTTTAATGTTTAATGAGTAGTGACCCCTAGACACTTAGGTACAGCCCACTTTCAGATGGGCTTGGTCAGTTGGTCTGCACTTAGAGTAGAGAGTAGACACTGGTCAAGTCTGGGCTTAGCTTGATGGGTTTTTCTTTGTCAGAACAAAGGAGGCCCATTCTGATTTCTGAACCCAAACTTGATTAATTTTATCATTCATGATGAAAAATGAAAAATTTAAAATCTGGAAGTAAGTTAAACATAAAGTGTGTTGTTGTATTTGGTGTGCAGCTTTTCCTGTCAGCCATGTGAAAGACCACATTGATGTTCTAGACAAAGAGAAATTCGTGTGCAAGTATTCATTGGTGGAAGGTGGTGAAATAGGGACGAAGCTGAAATCTGCTTGCTACGAGATCAAATTCGAACCTTCAAGTGATGGAGGAAGTATCTGCAAATTGGGGGCCGAATACAACGTTCTGGACGGAGTGACATACACAGAAGACGAAATCAAGGTGGCCAAGGATGGGATGACTGGAATGTACAAGACGATTGAAGCCCATCTCTTAACCAACCCTCATGCCTATGCCTAGATATATATCTATTGTCACTGGCTTCATAATAATAACTGTGCTTGATGTACTTGGCGGAACTCCACTGTTGTGGTACTCTATCCTGTACTGTTCTAGTATATATAAGAATTATCTCCCTCATTTTAACTGGGTTTTTGCAAACTTGCAATCAAGAGAGAGAGAGAGAGAGAGAGAGAGAATTTGGTTTCATTTAGTGCAAGCCGGTGCTCACACCATTCAAACAGCTTCTTACATCCTTGCTATGCACCAATGGAAGGTTGTAAAGACTGTTCGAACGTGCTATGCACCAATTGAAGTTCAACTCCTTTTTGGAAAGTTACTTACCCATATTCTTTTAATTTCCAGGCAAATAAGATAATGACCATTTTAGCCATAAAAAAACTATTACTAAAAGGGGCAATTTTGTCTCATCCAAATGGTGGCAACTTTTCCCTAGGTGAGAAACTTGAGTTCGGATCTACTACCCACACCTACCCATGCCTCATTACAGTTGTACATTAAGAACACTTCTTTTATTTGCATGTATATCTACAAGCATTTAAGACTTTCAAGGTAGAAGTAGAAAAGCAGACTGGGGATACAATAAAGATAGTCCAGTCTCATAGAGGAGGAGAGTATTATGGAAGACATACTGACTTGGGTCAAAATTCTGGACCCTTTGCTTTGTTCTTAAGAGAACAAGGTATTGTCGCATAGTGCACCATGCCTGGGTCACCAGATCGGAATGGTGTAGTTAAAAGAAGAAAGAAAACCCTAATGGACATGGTGAGGAGTATGATGGGTGACTCCATCTTGCCCATAAGCTTATGGGGAGAAGCCCTGAAAATGGCAATGTACATATTAAACAGAGTACTGACCAAGTCGGTACCAAAAACTCCATTTGAGTTATGGGTTGGAAAGAAACCCAATTTAAATCAGGTACATGTTTGGGGTTGCAAAGCTGAAGTAAGGGTATATACAACCCACAATTAGGGAAGTTGGATTCTATGATCATCAACGAACATTTTGTAGGGTATGCTGAAAGATCCAAAGGGTTCAAGTTCTATTGTCCAAATAATTCTCCAAGAATTATAGAGACAAGAAATGCAAAGATCTTCGAGGATCTCTTGGAGAGTGGGAATTAACATACTAAAAACGTTGAGTTAAAGGAAGTCCAAAATATTGACAAACATATCAATGTTGTTCTACCTATAAATTTCACTGTGGTACAAGAAGAACAACCATCAATAGAATAGACCACTGAGGTAGATGTAATTGTTTCTCATCTTGAAAAACCTACAGAGCAAATACCATCTCTTGTAGAGAGCACAAAAGCACCCATACTCCCTAGGAGATTGATTAGAATAAGAAGCACTACATCTTTTGACTATGTATACCTTAAGGAGACTGAGTTTGATATGGGTCATTCTATAGAACCACTCACATTTAGAGAAGCCATGTATAATCATAACTTCACACTCTGGCTTGAGGCCATGAATAGTGAAATTGACTCTATGGTCACTAATGGTGTATGAGACTTAGTACCGCTACCGGTAGGTGCTTGGGTAATTCCATGGAAATGGATATTTAAGACTAAAAGGGCACCTACTGGTGAAATTGAGAGGTACAAAGATAGGCTCGTGGCTAAAGGGTACAATATAGAGAAGGGAGTTGATTACAATGAGACATTTTCTCCTGTCTCTAAGAAAGATTCATTCAGAATAATCATGGCCTTGGTAGTTCATTATGACATGGAATTATATCAGATGGATGTGAAAACGGTTTTTTGAATGGTGATCTAGAAGAGGAAATGTACATGGAGCAACCTGAAGGATTTGCAGTTGAGGGTATGGAACATATGGTTTGCAGGATTGAAAAATCCATCTATGGGTTGAAATAGGTCTCTTTCCAGTGGTACTAGACATTTCATAGTATTATTACATCTTTTGGATACAAAGAAAATGTTGTGGATCAATGTGTATACTTCAAGGTCAATGGGAATAGTTTCATTATGCTAATGTTATATGTTGATGATATCTTGTTAGTTAGCAAATATATGAGCCTGTTGCACCAAACCAAAGAATTTCCAAAACATAAATTCGACATGAAGGACATGGAAGAAGCCTTCTATGTTCTAGGAATTAAGATCCAAAAAGATAGAGCTCGTAAAGTTCTAGGGTTATCCTAAAGGGCCTATATCTAAATGGTCTTAGAAAGGTTTGGAGTGGAAAATTGTGCACAAAGTGTAGTTCCCATTCATAAAGGAAATAAAGTTAGCAGCGAAAGTTGTCCTCAAACTGAATATGAAAAAGAGGACATGAATATAGTTCCTTATGCATCAGTTGTTGGTAGTTTGACATATGCACAGGTTTGCACAAGACTTGACATTGCATTTGCAGTGGGAGTATTGGATAGATTTCAAAGTAACCCAAGTAGGGAACATTGGAGAGCTACAAAGAAAGTGCTTAGATATCTACAAGAAACTAAACAATATGTTCTCACATATAAAAGAGGGGATGAATTGAATCTGTGTGGGTATATCGATTCGAATTATATTGGTTACCTAGACACTAGAAAGTCCACATCAGGATATGTATTCTTGCTTGTTGGAGGAGCAATTTGTTGGAGGAGTAGCAAGCAGAAACTAAGAGCTTCCTCTACAATGGAAGTAGAGTTTATTGGGTGCCATGATGCTATGAACATGCAGTGTGGTTAAAAATCTTTCTTGTTTGGTCTAGGTGCTCTTGTATTAGATTATGTAGATAGATCAATACAACTTTACTGTGACAATGCATCAACTGTGTTTTTTTCTAAAAATAATAAGACCAGTAGCCAAAGCACGTACATAGATTTAAAGTACTTGGTAGTGAGGGGTAGAACACAAGAATGTAAGGTAGACATCCATCATGTTAAAGCTGACAAGATGTTGGCAGACCCCATGACAAAGGGGTTGTCCCCTATAATTTGTCAAAACCATGTGAGAAACATGGGTATTGTCAGTTCGTTGGATGGAGGTAGCTTAATTGGATGACAACGTCGATTCTTCTTGTATCTGCGGATGTCTCATAGCCTATCACCTTGTGCACATATATGTACTGACAAACAATAGACCAAAACACAATAGGTTCCGTACACTAAGGGTTGTAATGTATAATGGCATAATACATGGAAGGAAAATCTAATAGATAGAGAGAACCACTATGATTTGCTTAAACAATTATTAGCCTTGATCAAGATAAGTTTATTTTATGATTTTTCTCTATGTCCACTATTCAAGCCAAGTGGAAGATTGTTAGAAAATACCCATTCGGGTAGGACCTAGATTGTGGCCCATCATAGTGGCCATAATCCAAATTATTTGGTCCTAATCTAACCACCCAAATAGAGCTCATTGTGTGGGTGGTAGGACTTAAATACTTTCCCATAATAGCTCCAGAATTTGGGGATTTGGCAATTTAAATTTAAATATCAATAGACCCCATTTAATTGGAAATAATGGAGCTGTTAGTTGAGAGAAAATCAAGGGAATTAAATCCCTGGACCCCTCTCCCCTGGGCGTATGTATCATTCTCTCTATTGACTAATCTCATTCCAACCTCCAACTCATGAGAGTGCATCCTATCAACACTGTTTCTTAGAGAAGGGATTCATAAGGGAATCATTGTGACTTAAGGGGATAGACTAAGTCCATGTAGTCAACAAGCAACTATCTTGGTAGTAGAAGGTACTACATTCAAGTGGAGACATTTGTGTTGATACAGCCAAGAAGAATGCCCAAAGGTTGATACAAGAAGGAAATCAACTTCCAAAAAACAAGAACAATGGTTATGACAACCGGAGGTATAATGTTATTTTTTTTTGTTCTTTTGATCGACCAAAGTAATCACCAGTCTACAAGATCTGATCAAGTCAGATCAGTTTTATTATTTCGTATTGTTTTTTATCTACATTGTTAAAAATTGGTGACTGCTCAGCTATCCTTCATCATATACCAAGCAAATTCCTTGCATTTTTAGCACAAGATGACTATTGAGAATCTCTTAGAAAATAAGAGGGATTAAAGAATTGATTTATCTTAGAATTAACTAATCCTTATTATAATCTCAGGTAGCTGCTGCCATGCTTCATACACAAATATATTTTGAGGATTTTCACATGTTCCAGTCTTTACTTTCTGCCTTTCTTTTGCTTTCTTTTCACATTATTGAAACATAGGAACTTCTAATAGAAGTATATAAAATTATTATAAGCTCTTTAATGAAAAGTAAAGGTTTCTTRATATAGGAGTTCTAACATGTCATTGCTGTAGTTTTAATTGCACCTTTTGGGGTTTAATCCCAGCTTACATGAACAATAATTAAAAAACCAAGCAATGTTGCCTTAAAAAATCAAAATTATTAGAAACTGGACTAGACCTAGAGACTCCTAGGACTTGAACTAGAATGTAATTGGCTCAAGCAGGTTTTTGGGTCAACCTAGTTTTTAGGTGGGTGCCATTAGCCCACAACAAGACTCTGGTAGTCCTTTTCATTCTACTTTTTCTCCCTTCCCAAGGAAAGAGGGGACATTTTATGGAGGTGCATGAGGGTTGGTATCCTTTGGCCTATTTGGAAAAGTGGAACTCAAGAATTTCCTATGAGACTACTATCCCTGAAAGCATTTGATTAAGCTAATCTTAGTGAGGGTAGTTCATTGGGTAAGAACTTTGGAGGAATTCTCGATGGTTAGCACTGATATCATTAGGAACTAGTAGCATGCAACTTTGTCCTCGACAAGAACCCTAGTAGTTTCGATATGGGCCCCTCAATCTGTTAACTTCATCAAATTAAAACTTTGAAGGATGTAGATTTTATAATTAAAGTAATTATATATCAAGGAAGAACTCTTTTTACTATAGGGTCTATGTCTGCACTAGTCTTTGGTCTATGACAATCTTTGTGTAGAAGAAGACATTCAAGTAATTATAAACTGGACAAGGGAAGACAGCCTAGGTCCCTCGAATTGTGACACAACACCTTGGATGAATTCTAAAGTGATATTTTTCCATCCAAACTTTTTCGAGGAATGCTAGAGTTTTTTTTTTTTTTTTCTACTTGTATTGGATATGAATACATTATACACCTGCCAAGTGGAACATTGTGTCAATT